GAACCTCAAAAAAAAAAAAAAAAAGGTATGCGTACACATTACCCTGCCCATACCCCAGTTTGTGGGATTTTACTGGGTAGTTGTTGTTGTTGTTGTTTCACTATCATCTATCCAATCCTGTTTACACCAAAAAGATATCAACAAAATGCAGTCTGATTTGATCTTCAAGAATGAATTCTCCTGTCCTTCAAAGCATCTAGTAGGGTGAACCTCAAACCCTCTAGTACTCCAATAACCCCCTCTCTCTTCAGTCGCCAGTCAACAACGCAAACAGCAGTCGAACTCCAATGGTGACCTTCCAAGCATTGGTTTTAACAAGCTTCACTATATTGTGATAAGAACTTCAGTCACCTTAATTCCATTGCTTTCACTTCTATCATAGATAAATTTTTGGCTTAATACACAAAAATTCTTCTAGACTTTGCTCGTTTGCAACTTGAGCACTTAGAGTATCCAGGGCTTCTATTACACTTGAATTACATTTTTTATCTCTATTACTACTTTGGACAAAAATTTGGTGGGAATGTCTCCACACATGTGGAATTTTTTACATTGAACAAAGTTCTAATTTTTTTTAACTCAGATATTTGGGAGCACTTCTATTCCAGCCAGAACTATTAAAAGATTGGCTGATAATCCATTTTTTAGGGCAGTAACAGTTCTAAATTTTAAGCACATCGCGTGTTACTTCAAATTAACTTATTTCTGTTTAAGCTCACGCATTTTTGGGAATCCATGTAACAAGCATGGAAGCTCTATTTTTCCCACCATAGTATTTGTTCTGTTTAAACTTGCTCATTTTTTGAGAATCTGTTTGCTCGAAATCCATTTATTTTCTGGCATAACTACAGCTATAAATTTTTTACAAGCAGCATTTATTTTTATTAAAATTATTCTTTCTGTTTATAGTTGCGCATTTTTGGAATGTAACAAGTTTGGTTGCAACTCTTATTTTTGGGCTTGATCCAATGTTCTAAACAAAAAAAAAAAATGAGAGGAAAAAATAGCATATAAAAAGAAATACAGTCAAAACAACTAGTAATGGTATATGATCATGTGACAATTAGTTGTTGGAACAAAAAGCCACAAAGAACTGAAACCACTCTTCGAAAATAGACACTAGAAATTGTAATTAAGGGGATAACCAGAACCTCACATAATTCAGTTGTGGCAATGCAAACTGAGCCAACTTAAGGAATTGTTTTGTAGTAATCCCAAAATTTACCAAAAATTGTGTTTCTAATAACTCTATTTGTAATGAAAACCTTTTTTTTTTTATAAGGATTTGTAATGAAAACCTTGTGATATGAAAACAAGAAAAAACAGTTTTGTGAGAATTTTCTTTCTTTGTTCTTTTGAATTATTTATCAGGATTTCATTTATTTTGATATGTGTTTCTTTCCCACGGCTTTTCTCATCTTCACCAATTTCATAATGCCAAACTAGGTGTTTCAAACTATATTTCATGATGGAGCACATGAAGCGTATATTCAATCACCTCTGTGAAATCTTGATTTGAGATTGTATCAATTGATAAAATCTCTGTCTTGTTCAGATTTAAGATCTCCAGCACAATATCAGTTGTCCTCTTCCCAAGTTTGTATGGTTCGGCAGCTTTGCTTGTACCTGCAGCCAGAACCACATTGTTCAGAAAAAGAAGTTGAGCTTCAAATAAAATGCATGTACATAATGATAACATAAAAGCAAAAAGAACAAAAAAGGTACAAGCAAGCAATGTCCTGAAAGCTACATGTAATTACCTACAACTTGCACCAGCCTATAAAGGTCCTGCTTCTGAACGTTACCAGAAATTCGTATTCTCACAAAGGTTCCAATAATTTTATCACGGAATTTGTCATCCTCTTCAAAGAGGTCCTCCACCAACTTCCGTCGTAGGTAAATTAAGCTGATGTTATGCACATCAATAGCCGCATAATCATCAAGATTTGACTGAGGTCCCCTGTTTTCACCTTTCTTACGTTTACGCTTCCTGTCTTTGACTGCTCTTGTAGGAGTGTCAGCACTTGCATCAGCTTCAAATTGATTAAATTCTGTATCAACTACACTACCTTGAACATCATCAGTCTGAGAATCCTCTTTCATAAGAAAATGAGACTCAAGTAGTTTTAACATCTCAAAGTGCCCAACTCGTGGCTTTCCAAATAATCTTTCAAGTCTTGAATCACATATAATTTGACTTTTACGACGAGGATCACGCAGTTTGTTTGTTTTGATATATTCGAGCAACAGAGCTTGCACATCAAATTGAGAAAGAACAGAAGTGTCACCACTTTTCATGTGCTTAACAAATTCAAGCATCTCTTTTGATGCCCACTCAGTGGTGCCAGCAGTGGAGAAGCCTTCGCTAAGAGTGGCAGCCATAGTTGTTGCATCCTCTTCCTTTCTGACAGATTTTGAACGCTTTCTTAGTTTTCTTCTTTTAGTTTTACTGGCTTCCAATCTCTCAGCGGAAGCATCTGAACCAGAACCTGCATCATCATTATTGTCAAATTGTGCTTCAACCAGTTCTTGTTTAGAAGCTGACACATTAGCCCCTTTCCAAGGACTTTTGGCATCAGCTATTTCATCTGAAGATAAAGATAGCTTCGTTTTTAAATCCACCAAGTAGTCCTTGAACAGATACTCAAAGCTACTCTTGTCATCAAAATCTACCGGACCCTGGGCCAGCAAAGAGTAACAAGATCAGAACTGTGCTACAGGTTTAAACTAAAAATCGCTACCATTTTAAGGAACAAATTAGAATCATCAATCAATTACCACTAGAAAAACAGAAACGAGAAACACAGAATTGTTCGTGTTGCTAGCAACCATATAAAAGAGAACTTTGATATTCTATTTATATATATTAGATGATATTTTAGATATTTAATTTAATCAAACAAACCAAAATTGGTCTCAATGTCTATATCACCATATGCCTACTACACCACTCATAAACCCAACCCCACTTAGAGTATTAACTTGGTCTCTCATTACTATTCGATATAGCATAAAAGTTTATAACCAAAGTTTCTATGCACTTAAATGGCTCGGATAATGGATATGATAGGCTAACTGTCCCATGCCCAACTTCCTTACTTTTTAACCAATGTCGCCAATCATTATGTTCTTTAATCTTCTTCGAATCTTTCTTTAAGCACTCCAATTACAGCAACTAATATTTAAATTGAACGTTAAACAACGTCAAAATATGCACATCCATAGGTTGTGCAACGACCTCGGTTGTGAATAGCTTATATCCAGTCAACAGCTCAAGAGGATAGCAAGGTATAGTAGAACTACATACATCATTGTCTTCTTTACCGAGGCCTTCTATTAGCTTGACAGTTCTCATGCAGATCTTGCAAAAACCCTTGCTTCCTCTTACACATAGGATGACATCGTCTTTGATGCACCCCTTGCATAATGAAAATGTACATGTGTAGCACATATAGTAAGCATTCTTCTGACAAATAGTACACTGATGCCAACCTGAAAAAAGTACAAAAAGAGCTGAAATGTAAAAGCAATAGGCAAGTAGACGAAGAAACATGTTTCAAAGTTCTACTAAACTATGATAGAAGATAGCAGCTTATTCTTTCACATCCTGAATAGTATAAATAAGAAGGTGCAAGTAAATAAAGAAACATGTATCAAAGTTCTAATAAACTTTGATAGAAGATAGCAGTTTATTCTTTCACATCCTGAATAGTATAAAGAAGTACTAAACGTGATATTTTAGTTCTCAAAGATTGAATTTTTTTCTAATGAACTTCTCAATCTAATAGCGTGTTAATGAATTTTTTCATCCAGTACTATAAAAAGCACAAGCCAATAGAAGTTTCCGTCAACTGACAGAAACGCGAAGCTATGAACCAGATGGCAGAAGTGAACAATACAACTCTAACAACTTTACATGTTGCCAAAAGTCATCATTTCTCTACTCGACTCAGAGTAACCATTATTGTTCACTGCCCAGCGGAAGTAAATAGCACCCCCAGCTATGCTTAAAAATTGACACTGGCCCCACTCTAGTTTAATGAACTTCAAGACAGCTCCATTCCATCTTAAGATATTTACAATCACCTCGTATAAAAATGGAAATATTTGATTAATGCATCCTAAGTGTATCAGTTATCCACACTTCCTTTATATCATATACAGGATTCAGCTGCAACTGTACAATCCTCTGTCGAAGGAAAAATCCACCTTTCTCTTTGCTCATTCCCTTCTATTCCATTGTATTTGACACCAAATACCACCTCTCTTTCTTTGTCATTCCCAATCTTCTGTATTTGTTTTCATATATTTCTAGGTGTGCAGAAGATTCCTACATGTATAAATGACTGAGTAGTTTGACAGATACTTGTGGTTAAATCACTTTCACAACTCCACAAGAAAAAAAGGGGAAAAGATTCACTTTCACAACTTGTATATAGTTTTCGCACCATCTTGGGATGTTATTAATGAATGAAGTTTGATTTATAGTCGAAAAAGTTATCCCACAAAGCATTTATATGTAATTTCCAAATATTGAGTCTTGTTGGCTTAGATGTTCAACTTCTAGAGAAGACTTTGGAAATAAATCAAAGTGCGAAATACATATCAATGTGTATTTCTATATTTACAAAACTAATACAAGAGAACTTTGTGGTACATGTTACTCAATAAAGTCAGATGAGTTTAGCAAAGAGGTAAAATAGAGCACTCACCACAATTCCAGCGTCCCTTGGCACGGAAAAATTCCTCGTCCCTATCAATACATGAAGGATGATATGCTTTGGTACAACCCCTAGAAATTAAAGAGCACCATAGAGGCACCACGTGAGCAAATTCCATGAAATGTGAACAAAGCAAAATTATATTTTTAACATACATATGTTTCTAAAACAAACAATCTTTACCTACGGTCACATAGCACCAAAGCCCCTCCATCAAAGCAAATGAAGCAAACATCCTCTCCAATAGCTTTCTTACTTGAAGTTCTTCCTCCAGACTTGGACTTCCCAGTACTCTTAGTAATTTTTCTCTTCCTCTTTCCTCCAGAAGCTTTCCCTGACTCTGTCATGTCAGTTTCAGTCTCTATTTCAGTAGTAGTTGCATTAGCAGCCTCGTCCTCAGCACCCGTCTCTTCGTCCTCCTCTTCGTCTAGAGAAACATGTTCCACTTCTTCATGCTTCATTTCATCCGTTTCCACATCTTTCTCTGATTCTATTCTAGCTTCAACAGTTGTAATATCAACCCCTGATGCCATTTCATCATCTCCCTCATTTCGAGTCACAACAACTTTCTCCCCATTAGCAGCATCGTCCTCAGCACCCGTCCCTTCATCCTCCTCTAGAGGAACAGGTTCCCCTTCTTCATGCTTCATTGTATCCATTTCCACATCTTTCTCCGACTCTATCCTAGCTTCAACAGCTGAAGTATCTACCTGTGTAACCATTTCATTATCTCCTTCTTTTTGAGCCACAACCACTTTCTCCCCAGTAGCAGCCTCACCCTCAGCACCAGTACCTTCGTCATGCTTTGTTGTACCCATTTCCACATCTTTCTCCAACTCTATTCCAGCTTCAACAGCAGAAATATCTATCCCTGATGCCATTTTATCATTTTCCTCATTTCGAGTCACAATCACTTTCTCCTCATTAGCAGTTTTCTCATCATCAGCATCCATTGTTTCATCTTCATTTTCTAGAGTGACCCCTCCTAAATCATCTAACACAACAGGAGGAATTTTCACTTCCTCGCTCTTTATTGCCTCCATTTCTCCAGCTTTCCCTAACCCTAGACTACTACTAGCTTCAACAGTTGAAACATTTGCCTCTGTCACTATTTCACCATTCTCCATATTATCGTTTCTAGTCAGAATTTTTGTTTCACCATTCTCCGCGTCCTCCAACTTTTCTCTGTCTTCAACAATTGAAATATTTGCCTCCCCCATTGTTTCATCATTCCCATTCTCATTCTCATTCTCATTTCTCGTCATAGCCACTGTCTCATCAACAGTACCAGCTGGCAAACAACTGCTAGCTTCCTCCACCGTCGCAATCACTGCCTCTGCCACCTCATTTTTCTCCAACGCCGTTACATTTTCCTCTTCCACTACTTTGTTCTCCTCATTTTCCGTCCCTGTAACCGTTGTTTCTTCCATACATGGGCCCGCCTCGGCCATTACTTCTCCTTCTACCACTGCTTCGTCATTCTCCACATTTTCAGCTACTGCAACGTCATCATCACCACCGCCACTGTGCTGACAACTGTCTCCGGCAACCTCTGATTCTACCACCGGTGGTCCCACCTCCGGCACGGGCAAAATCGTATTACTCTCAACTACCGGTGTCGGTGACGTGGCACTCGATTCAATAACAGGTTCGGATTTTAGCTCGTCGGTCATGATTGGGTTATTCACATTGGAAATTGATTCTTCGTCTTCCGCCATGAAAGTGGATTACAACCAAACCCTAACCCTAGATTTTTTTCTACTCTTCTTTTTTTGTCTGTGATTAAATAGAGAAAAAAGTATTACAAATTGCTGCTGATGAGAGTACTACATATATGTTTATGAATGTATAAAATCGGATTTAATTGTATTGAAAAAAAAAGTGAAATTGGATTTGTCTTTTTATCGGCGTTATATGAAGAACTGTTTTCTTGACAGAGGGAGGGGGAGAGAGGGCTAACGGATTAAACAAGAAAATGTAAATGACAGATGAAGCCCAGTCGAAGGCCCAACTCGAACTATTTCTTAAATGTGATCTTTACACAAGTAGCTTTTGAATTAAGTATTTACTTTTTCTAGCCGATATATATATATAAATTAGATTATACACGTATTATATATGGATTATTCATATGTTATATATTTTCCGCCTATTTTTAGTTTACATATTAGGTAAGCAAACTATTTAGGTTCGTTTTTTTTTCTTCTAAATCTTATGTTTTGGTAAGTAGGTAATTCTTGCGCTTGCTGGTCATAACATATTTTTGTGAAATTACCAGTTATGCTAGCCCATAAGAAAAATATTACAAAAATTAGCCAATTCGTAAAATATTATTCATATTAACTAAATATTAATCAATTACCTATTTGTAGCCAAAAAGAGTTGATTTTTTGCTTTCTTTTGAGTGGGTGTTGATGGAATATATTGAATACATCTTAAGAAGTTTGAATCTCAGTTTTGGGATGATTTAGTGGAGTTTTGAGGTATTTTGAATTGAAAATTCGAAGTAGAAGATGAACATGGAAAAAGATGATTTGTGTATCATTTGTATATCAAATATATATCACGTGTATATCCATATATACCTATGTGCAAGATACATATGTCGCATAATAATTTTTAAACTTGATTTTAACTATGAATTTTGATACTAAACCAGTCCAAGTAACCTCCAATCTTGCTATATCCATATACTTTCAATGAATTTCAACCATATCCGTTTTAAAAAAAAATAAATCGTTTCCCTAATTTTTTTAATATTGTATATCATTGGTAATGAATTTTGACCCTAAACTAGTCTAGCTTACCTTCAAGCTTTCTCAATTTATGTACATTGCTTCATCTATGTGTATTCAACTACTCATAACACTATAGAAAAAAAAAAAAACTTTTTTGCCTATATTTCTGAAAGTTCTATATTATTCATAATTTTTTGGGGTTATTTTCAATAGCATAAATAAAATGGTTAGTTGTTGGTAAATAGTGTCTTTTGTTGGTATATTTTCGTAAGTTTCCCAATATTTTTCTACTAAAAAGAAAAATAAACGTTCCTCATTTATGAGGGCGGAAGCCATTTTCCTTTAGAGTTATATAAACCTTTAACTTTTTGTCATTACTCTAACCAATATTAACTTTGTTATTTATCTTTTATTTTGGACTTTATTATCAATCTTTAATAAGCAAATACGCTTGCAAACATTGTCCAATTTTTCAATATTATTATAAATATTTGATAAACCTTTTTAAGCAAATATTTTCACCTAAAAACAAATTCTTCTTTTCCCATTCACGCAGACTATATGGTTAAACTAATAAATTCGCTAATATTCACGCAGAATATATGTTTAAACTAATAAATTCGGTCAATTGATTATAGTATAATTGATTATAGTATATTACGCTAGTGACACTCAGTTCCGTTAGTTAATCTAGATTGATTTTGATTCTAATCGTAAGAACATGAGTTGGATCTAGTGGAGCAATCTTCTCGAAAAATATTAAAAAATCCAATCATATAACATGAAGAAAAAAAATTACTAGTTGGGATGATAGTGTTAGACCCCCAAAAATGGAACTCGACGGGACAACAAGAGTGTTGTCATGAGGCAGTAAGAGTGTTGCAAAGCTTGGTGCATGAGCAGCACCAATGTCAAAAATGGGAAACGGGCAAGTG